TTTTATTGTTTTAAAATGATAGTTTAAATAAACAGAATTATTAGTATAACTTTATCTAAGTAAAAAAAAATATTCTATAGAATAGATAGGCAAACTTTGCAAACTTTACAACTCTACTATTAAAAAATTAATGATTATTAATCATTAGCAAAACTTATTTCTTATATTGCCCACCTATTTTATAAAACATCCAAAAAAAATATATATATAAATTTTAAAAAAATTTAAATTTTTTATAAAATGTAATATATAAAAATATATTAATAAAAGATTATTCAATTCAAATAAAACTTTTAAAAAATATATTGTTTAATCTTTTGAGCAAATTTTATGATTTACTTAGTAAAATTTGATTTCATTACAGTATAACTACTAATAATCATATAAGTAGCTTATTTTTAAATATAAGAAGTTTATATATATCTTTTTTAAAAAAAAATAATTTATTATTAAAAGTGGCTTATTTTTGGTAATATATGATATATATTATTAAACTTGAATATGTTTATAAACTAAACTTAAACTAAACTAAAAATTTAAATTTAGGTTTAGTTCAAGTTTATAAATTTAAAATTTAGTTTAAATTTAAATTCAAAAATCTACAAAATTTAAAGTTCAGTTTAGGTTCAATTAAACTTAAACTTAAATCTAAATTAAACTAAACAAAACTTAGAAATACTATATATAAGGGAGACAGAGGTATTATAGGCAGGGGGGTATTGTGGGCTAGCTAGATATTTTGCGATCTGGTAATTAGAATTAAATAATTTTTATACCATTCAATTCATTTCAATAAGATGAATCAAAGAATATAAAAATTATTTAATATTAATTAGTAAATCACAAGATATAAATATTTAAATAGCAAACTTAAAATTTTTATTTAAAATTTAATAAAAATTAATTGCAGCATAATTAAACTAGTCTTTTATACTAAATAGATTGATCTTTGCACATTAAATAAAATCATCCACAGAAATTTAAACTTTCAAAAATAAATAACCAATGAAAATATTGCACAGTAAAAATGTACACTAATGCTATAATATATACAAATAAAATATGCACGTTGATGGGAGAAAATTGACACATATTAATATTAAATTTTAATTCATGCGTCTCCTCTTTTGGAGTTTGTAATACAGTTATACTTGTGCGGTAGTATAAAAAAATCACGTTAATATTCATCACATTAATTATACATTACATTGGTACACTTTAGCAAACAAGTTACGTACATATGAACAAAGATTTAACGTTTGTTAAATTTGGTGCTAGAAACTCGATTCATATTTAGTGAATCAAATTAACAATTCTTTTTTTTTTGTTTTATTTCCAGCATTATTTAAAATAAAAAAAATACTAATTTCATGCATTTACATATTACTATATTTCTTTAACAAAATAAAACAATGCCAAAAACCCCAAAATTCTCTAAAAAAACCTAATGTGAACTTAGAGATGATCAACATAAAATAATTCTTGCAGCAATCAATGAGTTTAAAATTTATCCCACTAATCTTAAATGTCTTAGTATAAATAAAATAGCAAAAGATTATGGAATTCCTAAAACAACTCTTCAATATGCGATAAAAAATGACAGCCCTCCTAATCGCCTAGGTCCACCTACCGTCCTAACTGAGCATGAAGAAAGCCAGCTTGTTGGTTATTGCATTAATATACAAAAGCTTAGTTTTGGTTTAACAAAATCTAATATCAACTATTGTATAATGGAAATAATGGCGAAACAATAAACGGCCACATCTGTTTGGTGATAATGGGCTAAGCAAAGACTGGTAGACCCGCTTTATGAATAATCATTCTGAGCTATCATTTCGTGTCTTTCAAGAATTATCTGAAGCTCAGGTATAAAAAGCAAATGCAATAATAGTAACTGATCATTTTGATCAACTTAAATGAATAATTAATGAAAATTCACTTACCTCTATACAGGTAAAATGATATTCAATAGGATCACCTACTTGTCAAATTTAACCCTATTGTGTATCCTATTGCTTACAGATTTTGGTGTCAAAGAAGATCAATAGGATTATCTGATTATAAATTATTTAATAAATAGTAACTTACTATTAATTAAATACCGTAAACTGCCATATACAAGATCCCCCCATATATCAAATCTACACTCATTTTTTACTAATTATTTTCTTTTTTTTACTAATTAATTTTTTTGGTAGAATGTAAGAAATCCAGATCTTTTATATAGCAGTTTATGATAGTAACTTACTATTAATTAAATAGTTTAAAATTAGTAAAAACTTTGAGCCAAAATTCGTCAGTAATAAGATTAAATTTGATAATTCTTATTAAATATTATTTTACTTGTGCTATACAGATTTGAAATATGGACAAAACTAGGTTTGTTCTCATACCTAAGTTGAAAAAAGTAATAGCAAAACAAGAAGCACGCCAAGTTTACAAAGTTGCATATGGCAACTCCCATGAACATATCTTTGTTGCTCCACAATTTCGGCCTCTGGATCATATATCTCCTCTCTAATAATTTATAAAGGAGTTCGTGCAATTTCTGGCCTATTGGAAGGTGCATTTCCAGGAACTATAATAGGTTTACAAATAGCGGCTACATGCTGGAAGAGCTTTTTCAAATATACCTTATCCATTTTAACAACTCCATATCATCTACCCGCCCAGTCTTATTAATGCTTGATAGCCACAAAAGCTATATAAGCTATATGTATGTTGATTTTTGCTGTCAAAATGGAATTCTTCTTTACACCCTTCTTCCCTACACAATGCATGTTTTATAACCATTTAAGATTCCTTTTGCAAAATTAAAAAGTGAATATGGAAAGGAATGTGACAAATATCAAAACAACAATAATGGCAAAGTGGTAACAAAATATACCTTAACAAAGATTTTTAGACAAGCTTTTCTTGAAACCTATACACCATCAATTATTTGCAATGCTTATAGAAGTACGAATATGGCTGCTCAATCTTAATGCTATTAATTCAGACCGCTTGGACCCTTCGTTAGCAACTGAACGATTTGATATATCTTCAAACAACCAACCTTCAAACAGCCAACCTTCAAACAGCCAACCTTCAAATAGCCAACCTTCAAACAGCCAACCTTTCATGCAACTAGTTGAATCATCTCAACAATTACCTAACAATTCAAATCATATTTATTTTACTCATTTGAATGCTGTCTTGCTAGAAAATGAAAATGCAATGCTTAGTCAAGAAAATAAAAAACTAAAAAATAAAAATAAAATATTAACACTTCAGTTTGCAGCAATGAAAGAAGAATTGGAAACTTATAAAAACCCAGAACGTGTTCTCTATAATTAGCTCTCAAGTACTCAGTTCTTTAAACTTTACAAGCTGAAACACCAAAGGTCCTTCCAGATCAACAAGAATCTGAACCACCTTTTCCTAAAAAAAGAAAAATATTTTTGTTTGCGCAGCTTCTTACTTGCGAAGAAAGTTGGGAGCAGTTGAAAATGGCAAATGAAGGAGCAAAGAAAAAAACTGAAGAAGCGAAACGAAAAAAAGAAGAGTAGGAACGGAAAAAAGAAGAGCGGGAATGGAAAAAGAACAAGCGATCCAAAAAAGAGAAAAGAAAGAATGGGCAAAATAAGAAAAAGAAAAAAAAAAAAAAAAAGATTTACTTGGTAGGAAGGGGAAAATTAGCAGAAATTAATGATTGATCACAATACCCCCTTCCCTTCAAAATTTGATCTTTATATACTATTATACAACAATCGATTATGTTGCAAGATAGTTCTTTATGTAGTGCTTTTTTTTATTATGATTTTATTCTACATTAAGTGTAGTTCATATAGCAAGAATAGTATTAAATTTTATAGACATAATAAAAAGTTTTGCTAATAAAAATTTTAACTGCTCCACAATACCTCATCTCCCTTATATTGCAATATTTTGTATATTTAATTACTGTATAAAGTAAGTTTAAAAATTATTTTTTATAATAATTTATTTTATAACAAATTTTAATAATAAAAGAGTAAAAAAATTTAATTTTTTTTAATTTATTTATAATTTTTTTTGATATTAAATTTTTTTAATAATTGTTATTATTGTCAATACAAAAATAATTATATATGAATTATAAAAAATATGATATATTACTTTTGTTATTTCTAATAAAGATTAAATAAAATTTATAAATAATATAAAGTACAATATAAAAGTAAATTTTATTTTTGTCCTAAATAAAGCAAAAAATATTTAATTTTTATACAAAGTGATACAAAAATTACATTTCTAATGCTCCAAAAATATTGTTTTTAATGCATTCATAATAAAAATATCAAAAATGTAATTTTGAATTTTCTGTCTGTTTATCTAACAACTCTTTCTGACAATCACTTAAACCAAGACCAGACCAAAACAGTTTGAAGATTCAAGGCCCTAAGAAGTCTAAAGATACCTGAGGTTTCTTATTGGTACTGTTGTTGACGAAGACTTATATATAAAACACTGAGGAGCGGAACGTATATAGTTGGTTTGTGCTTTGGATCAAGCTTTACTTCTGAGTAGACTCCCTTGCACATTCGGCATCCAAGCTAAAAGGATTATTTTGGTAACAGTAGTGATGAAAAACTCTCAACTCAAGTATCTAAAGCTTTTTAGTTTTACGATGAACAACTGGAAACACCTTCTTTGTCTTAAGCTCTTGCAAATACAGTACTTTTTTCTCTTTGATACTTTTGGCCATAATTTTCAACAAAAAGTGAGGAATTCAACATACCTCTTCCAAAAGATCAGCAATGTTTATCACTTCTATATCGGGAAAATCTGCATAATAACAAACAACATGTATAAAATAGATAGTGCTAGCAAATTTAGTAACTAGATGAGTGTTCAAAAAAATACCTTATGTGTCATGTTGTTGAGGATATACAAATACATAATCATTGAATAGGGCACATGGAGATTCCAAAATTTTTATATTTTCAGATAAAGATATGAATTTAACTGAAAAAGTAAAGTAAAGTGAAAAGAGATATACAGGCATCCTTTAGTTACCTGTATATAATTTTTAGCCTCTAGCACGAATTATAGTACATTTTGTTTTAGTTTTATATTTCTTGTTAAGACTCTCGCACTTAATAGTAGATTGTAACTCTGTATAATTAGAAGTTTTTGTCTGGTTAGCAGATTTTTTTATTTTTAGTAATAGTTTCTTTTAGGTTTTAGTTTAGTTTTTTTTATATTCTTTAATATTAGTATCCATTTTCTTTGATGTATTAGTTTTATTTTTTACTCCTTTTTTTATTTTCCATTATCACTTTTTTTCTTTTTTCTTTCTCTATGAAAAAGTGTCATCAGTTTGGCAGCATTCTATTGTAGAGCGGGAATTTTAATAGGACAAACAACAGCTAGCTGAAAAAACTGAAGGAAATAAGTTTAGAGTAAGTTTCGGATCTCTAGAGGAGGCTAAGTGTTGCTAGACAGGTCGCATCTGAGCAAAACATAGTGGTTTAATGGTTTGCTCTGACCGCAAGTAGATGTTATAGCATCTGTAAAGTATGCTATGGGTGAGTTTACATTTTGGTCAGAACACTTATAGATTTAGATTTCTTATGCCATATAAAGATGAAAGTCTGTTCCCATAATAAAGTAAACAGAATTGCTGAAGAAAAAAAAAATTTTCTGTCTGTCTCTATTTGTATATTTGTATAACACAATTACGAATAAGAAGAAACCTTGATAATGCCAATCTTATATAAGCTCTGGACTTATAATAGTTTTCATTTTAGTTATTTTTATATTTTTATATAATATTAAAGTTTATTAATAATTAAGTTTTAAAAAAAAATTAAAATTAAAATTTTACTTAATAAATTGCCAACTCACCATTTCCACTATTCACAATATCCTAAAATCTTTCTAAATACTAACTGCATCCACTACAACTTACTAAATTCACTTCTATATTGGTATAGCTATCAAAATTATGAATTAATCTATTAAATAATTATTAATTCTATCATATAGTATCTTAAATTAGCAAAACTAGATCTTTTAAATAATCAGCTCAAGGAACTTATTCTCAAAATTCACAACCATGAAGTATTTTATCTATTTGCTTTTCAACTATATTTACACTATCTAGATATTATATTCAAAGGTTTAATTCTTATATCTTTAATTAAAACTATTTAAAATTATAACATTTCTTACAAGACTGCTTCTCAAGCAATAATCAATATATTACTTAAAATAAATAAACAATTATACAAACAATTATAGAAACCCTATTGTTCTAACTTCAATAACTAGAGAAAGCTCAACAAACTTAACTATCCATATTCTAATAATCCAAGCCCTTCTATACTATCTAAACTCTCCAGTTTTGAACAACAATCAGATCCATTAAGTTCAATACAATCTATCATCTCAACTCAACATACTTATACAATATATACTTATTCTTATATATATAGAGAACAGTTCAACTACACATCTATCCTAATATCTGTTTACTTGTTGACCAGGCTAGAAGAAAATATAATGTTTGGTCTGTTTACTGGATTAAATATAATACTTTATTTAATTATATTTTCTCAATTATAATTTAGATGAGCTTAGAACTACTCTAGTAGGTTTAGATCGCAAATAAATTAATCTGAGCTTTTATTTTTTTTTGGTTTTAAGATAACATTTTGGTTGCTGTTTTTTTATTCAGTTATTGTTAACTTTTACAGTATAGTATACACTATACTATACACATATTTAAAAAGTACAACTAGCTATATATGCAACTTTTAGTTTCTTATTTAAATAGTTTCTTATTATTAAGTTCTACACTAGCTGCTGTATCTGTAACCCTATTGTGTTACCTATTTAAACCCTCTGTGTCTATGTACATTAATCTTCTAACTGGGTAAAAATACATTAATACTATCTTATTTTCAGATTTCTGACTTAGAACTTTAAAACAGACCCACCTATAGGGTCCTTTGTCTTTAAAGTAAATTTGCTAAAGCTTTCTGTATACACAATCTGGCTAACCTAGTCTTCAATAACTTATATTGAGTCTGAGGACAAGTAATTGCAAACCAAAGCTGCTACTATTACCTATTTCTGCCTTTGTAGAGTTCACCCAAACCCCAGCACACACTTTACAGACTAATACTAACTTTTCTTCACCAATAGCGCTCCAAACCCAATTTAGATAGCCCAGAAAGGAACTAGTAGGTGTCCTCTTAGTATTCTGATTGAATCTTTTTTTTTGTTTATATAGGGCCATCCCATATATATATGGCCTAGTTAGTATTAGTATTTGCCAAACACCTAGTCTTTATCTAGTTTACTGTTAATATCTGATTACCAATAATCATCTTTTATATAGTATCATCAAAGATCTGTGCTACCTCTCTACTTGGAACTTGCTAAGCAGAATTCTATATACTCTAGTCTTTAGATTTACACAATTGTTTTACTTAGATTTCATATAACTCTTGTATTACACTATAGTTCTATGATCTTCTAGTACAAGCTAGTATGACCAAAGCTACAGATCTGATAATTTATCAAATTATACACAGTCTGCCATAACATATTCTGTAAAATTTGAATTTCGGCATCAGTTAAGATTCTAACTTTTGTTCTGTTGCTTGGAAGTGCAACAACTTATCAACTTTACTAAATCACTACACTCTCAGTCTGAGCTTTTATTCTTGCTATATAATTTTATTTTTATTTTTAGTTGTATTTTTACGAATTGTAGTAATATTTATATTAGTTGATTATTTAACTAGTAGTTACTATAATCTAATAAAATTAATAATAAAGATATGAGCAAGGCCTCACCTTAATACCAAAAAAAGAAGTTTTTTTTAAAAAATAAACAAGTTTATTCAAAAAATTTAATATTTAATTTTAAAGAATTTTTAAATATTTCTAATCAAAGAGAGTGTGGCAACTTAGTGTAGTTGGTAAGTTGTCATACTCCCAAGTGGCAGGACAAGAGTTCAAATCTCATTAGTGATGAAATTTGAATTTAAAAAATATGTTATAGCAAACTATATATAATTCAATAGATTATTAGATCTATATTTTTGGTCATATCAACTTGTATTAGAAGAATATAAACTATAGTATGATGCAAAAGTTACACAAAATCTGAGTGAAACGTTTATGTAAATTTAAGGACTGAGGCATACAGAATCCCACTTAGCAAGTTCCAAGTAGAAAGGTAGCACAAATCTTTGATGGATTATATAAAGGATAATCATCGATAATTAGACACCAGCAGTAAACCGAATGAGGACTGGGTATTTGGCAAGATACTAATATTAACCAGGCTGTGTATATACAGGGTAGCTCTATATAAATAAGGAAAAAGAATTCAATCAAAATACTAAAAAAATGTCTACTGGTTCTTCTCTAAGCTATCTGGATTAGAAGTTTAGAGTGCTATTGGTAAAGAAAAGTCAGTATTAGTCTGTAAGTATACTAAGGTTTAAGTGAACTTTATAAGAGCAAAAGTAAATAATAGTAGTGGCTTTAGCTCGCAAGTACTTGTTCTCAG